GGGCAACCCTAAGCCCTAAACACATGTGGCTGGCTCATCAATCTGATCAAGACCATATGAGCCCAAGACTGAAGACATTCTTTGATCATCCACTCTCAACCCCCTACACATCCCCTATAATCCCCCCTTGTTCTAGTCCGTAGCTCATATCTGTGTTCTTCATGCACGCGTTCTTGCCCAAAACGAGAATCGTCTTCTTCAATCGCCGGTGCGACAAAAAACAGCTGGCGTCATGTCTCTTTTAAGACTGCCATCGGCGCTCTTGATGCAGCTCTTGTTATCACCATAATTCATCCAACTGTGCTCATTGTTCTCTGTGCAAGCATTTCCCTTCTTGCTCTGCTACAAGTGCTACTGCCTAACTGCCAAGCAGGAACATCGTGAACAGCTCGGCCGCTTGCTCGGCGCTGACCCCAATTCCTGAGTTGCGAAGGCTCAGTTTATAGCTATCAGCAATACAGCCAGAACTACAACCGCAGTTGCTACAGACTACAACAGTACGAAAAAAGGCTGGCCATTCTTACTCCGATTATCCGCCTCTCTGCTATGATTCTGACTTTGTCATTCTCACTACTGGAAACACTGCAATCTTCACGACGAGTGCTGTCTGATTGTTTTGTTTAGTGAGTTCTCTTGACAGGCAGCAAATTCGTGCAAGCACGAGATTGCGCTCCGCAAGAGTTTCCCGCACAATAGGCATGCAAAACGCCAAACCAGGGCCCTATCAGGAAGAAGAATTGCAACGGGTGTGATAGGAGCAATAATACGCAACATTGATACGGGTTGCTGCTTCTGCAATACCTGCATTTCCAAGATGCCGAGAAAGCGAACATGCAGTCAGTCAAAAGTTGTGAAAAAGTAAGATGCAGCGTACGTTATTGACGGCAATAAGAACAACCGCACAAGTCCACAAACAAATGAACCTTGCAAGTCTGGATGGAATTGAGTATCGCATCTGCCGAATGAGCTCGATGAACTCGATGAGTGCAAGATTTCCATCTCCGTCGGCGTCAGCATAATCAAACAGCATCCTCAACTCTGGCAGGCTTAGGGGCGTTTCACGAAAAAGATGGCGCTCCAGGAACACATGGTGAGCAGGAAGTGCCTATATTATATAGGGTTATATAAGGATAATGGAAAGTAAAATGGAAACTACTATAATGGGGTTATAGGTTTCTCTCCTGTCTCAGGGGTCCGCGAAAGGTTGCTGTTAGCTTCCAGCTTCTGCTCTTGGCAATATGCACTTTGCTAAGTACTATTGCTGCAGCAGCACCACCAGCAAAAGCCATACCGCCACCATGACCGCCTCCACCAGCGCCAGTGCAACATCTTTGCTTTCTTCTTTGTTTAACCCGTTCTTCGATTCGATCTTCTTTTCCAGCTCTTTCAGGTAGATGACCATTAGGGACGTCAACGTGCCAAGCAAGAATGTCATGGCTTTATTCTGAATGCTTGCAGCTAAACGTTATCTCTAGCCCTTCTATAACCAACGCCTTCTTCAGCAAACGCTGAGGCGCTGGTTTCGTTGATAATAGAGGATTGGATCCGTCTAGCAGCCCCTAAGTAATCCCAAGAATATGGTCGTTTCCAATGCTCTTGTCCATTCCCCTGAGTATCCCCACCTAGCCCGTATCCCCTAGCTTTTCTTTCATGTTCCACGCTCTTTACCATTTGATACCCGATTATAGTGACGTCGCCACCCTGAACCCTAAACCTAAAACCCTAAAAACCCTTTTGTAAAAAAAGCAAAAAACTTCACCCTCCAAACCCTCAACCCCACACACCCTAAACCTTAAACCCTTAACCCTATAAACCCTGTAAACCCTGTAAACCCTTCACCCTATAAACCCTAAACCCGACAGACCCTGTAATCCCCATAAACCCTATAAACCCAAAACCTAAATCCTGTCTGAGGCACTGTAGGTCTGCCGCAGTGTAGCCCCACTTGCTGAGGCAGCGGCGGACGCGCCCTTGCAAAAGGACTTTGCGACGTGAGAGCCAGGACCTAGAATGAGACCGTCTAAACTCCTTTAGGGAGAGTATATAGGGATTGCATAGGAAACTCTTGTAGGTGTTATTAGGGGGGATACTAGGAGTTTAGACTATAGCTCAAACAGGGCTTGGCCTGAACAACTTTGAGGTTTAGGGTTTACAGTTAAGGGTTTAGGGCACATGGGGGATTGTCAAAATCATGGTCCTCTTCTTTAATACCCGAATGTCGGAAACCCCTTGTACTAGGGACCCAAAAAAGGGGCCATAGTTTTACCAACCTACCACATGACAGAGGCTCCAGCGAAGCAAGATTTGCGGTAAATAAAGCCTTTTGGGCTTGAGGTTTTGTGCATGGATCTGCATTTTTGGCAAGGGCTGCAAGGGGACCATCTTGTAGAGGGAGCACCAAATATTCGCAAGGGCGCTGAGCAAAGCAATCACTTAACGAGACAGCTGTTGGGGATATCAAGTCTACTTTACATAGTGGAGGAAACGCAAAAACGCAAACAGCTTTGCCACTAAATTGTATTAGCGGCTGAGTGAACTCGTGGCCAATGATACCCACTGGCATGGCCAGGAAAAGGACGCTGATGAAGGTGAGCAGGGAAACAACCAGGTAGCCCCAAGAAGATTCTGGATAGAAGTCCCCATAACCCACAGTAGTGACCGTCACAATGGCGAGCCAAAGGGAATGCTGCAGGGTTGGGACATTGTCCTGCGACTCCACCAAATAGATGATGGTGGCGGAGAAGAGCACCATGACTGCCAACATATAAGAGAGCACCTGGATCACTGCTCAGGGGTTCAACTTGGAGTGCAGCCATGCGGAAAAAGCCTGTGATTTCTTAACTCGATCCCCTATCCCAGGATCTAGAAAAAAAACACCTCGCAGTCCTTAGTGTTGATGTGAGGGTTTCTCGTAGTACTTCTCAGTAGGACAATCACTCAATCGCCTACGATCATTACCAGCAGCCCAAGTACAGGCAGTGCTTCCGCCGAGTTGACGCAGGCATCAATCCTGGGTTGCTGTTAAGGAACTTAAATTAAGTTACCATAATGGGTATATATAGTAAATAATAGGGCTTCCCCAATATAGTAACTTAATTTAAATTCCCTAAATCCCAATATTCCCCCAGTTTCCATGTCATTTTCCATGTTCTTTTCCATTTGATTCTCCATCATAGGGGGATAATATACCCTAAACCCTAAACCCTATAGTAACTTAATTTAAGTTCCTTAACAGCAACCCAGAATCAGCAGCCTGAAGGAGTCAAAGTAGCGGAGCAGCTTCAGAAGGC